GTGTGTGTGTGTGTGTGTGTGTGTGTGTGTGTGTGTGTGTGTGTGTGTGTGTGTGTGTGTTTGTGTGTGTGTGTGTGTGAACAATGAACAGCACAAAAAGCTAAACATTTTCAAAAATGTTGAATTTAATGTAGTTTTTGTCAATGAAGAAGAGCTGAGTATATGTCAAGTAAAAGGATAAATTTATTTATTGACTTTTTAAATTATTCTGGCTCTGCTTGTCTGTGATTATGAGGCTCAACCAAGCATACAGTAAATAAAGACCAGTGTTTAGTTCAATACCTGGTCTTGCATTCAACAATAGTTTATATTAATTGTGGAATTGCACGCAAGTCACGCTGATACTCCAGAAGCATAGATGGAGAAGTGAAATTGCAAGAGCACTCATACACAACCTTTTGCATGAGGTAAATCACCAAAATGCATTCATGTTAGTGCTGTACTTGAATTGTACCAACGAGAGAAAGTCTTCCTTTTGAATGCAAACCTGTTTGATGACAAAGTAGATTCTATATTTCCTACATCGAAATTTCTATAACTTGGCTGAGTCAAGAATATATCCACAGCAGCCATGAGGGTGCTCAGGGGAACAAGATCAGTTTTACCAAGAGCAGTGTGGTTTATTGCAATGTCATAATCTTGTGACGGTTTGGCGAGAGTTAATAAAAGCCATGAACAGAGCAGGCATTCTTGCACTCTGCAGAGGTTCTGACGTTGTATACAGTGCTGCTGAATCTGACCTCACCATACAGCTTTCCAAAAGATGGCACTAGAAGAGCTGTTGAAATTGCAGGAATCTGAAGAGGATTGTCAAGCCTGCTCTCAGGACGGAGAGCGTTGTGTAACCGTGGGTGTTGATCGAGCTAAGAAATATTTTGGCATCCTCAATGATGGAACATATCAAAGTACTAATATGCTTTCAACCTTCACAGTCAATTCCTTCAAGTTATCCAATGCCTCACTGAAACGCTTGCCTATAACACTCACTAGTTTCACAAATGCACCAATCCGAGAGGCCACCAGAACGTCCAGCTTTAATGCACACTCCTGGGATCGAGCTATCCAGGCACGTTTCAGCTGCACAGCTCTTCTCTCAAACTCCAAATTAGACACAAAGTCAGCAAGTTATGAATTTTGGAAGCAATCCCTTCTCTGTTGATGTAATTGCTCAAGGTGTCGCCCATGCTTGCACGTGTTATTCTGATGTTGTCAGGAACTAGAAGCAAACCATCAATGAATGGGATCAGCAGAGTGTCAGACTTTTCTTCAAAGCATCTACAGTACCGTTGTGCATTTTATCAGTTCGTGCATTCCCTGGAAATCCAACACATGACTTTGCTCTACACTTTGAGCTACAGGAAAGCCATTTACTTCACTTACTTGTATGTTTGTCAGTGCAAAACAAATAAGCAACCTAGCCCAGGTGACAAAAAGTAATGCAAAAGTAATGAAATGCATAAAAAGTAATGCAATTAGTTACTTTTTTATGGAGTAACGCATTACTGTAATGCATTGCTTTTAAAAGTAACTTCCCCCATGATAATATTTTGGAAGACAAAATTGATTTTTTTTTTTATGCTGAGGGTTTCAATATGTTTTAACAGGTTTCTATTGAACTGCAAGAAGATTATCAGTCAATAATGACTTTCTGGTCTCATGTAAGTCATGCGAATTACTGTTATTGTACTTAAATGGTGCTTCATTTTGTCCTTTTTGGATCTCAGCCGTGTAAATTACTGTCCACTTACCTTGTAGCCTAAATAAACATGTTGGGGTTTCGAAGAAGGAACAAAAACAGACTTGTAACTCCGTCAAGTTTCCAATTCCTCTCCATTTCAGCTCAGTAACATATCATTCTGAAAGAGAGAAAAAAGATTTAGAATAATATAAAGCAAAGCAGAGAGCACTGAGGTGCTAAATAAAATAAAAGCAAAATGGGAAGGAAAAGTTGAGCATTATCACCTAACCAAGACAGAATATCAAGGGAATATATATATATATATATATATATGTAATATATTGTATATGCATATGGCATTTTACCTGAAATCTAATTCGCAAAGTCACCAACAGATGTCAGTGTTGAGCAGAAATACACATTTCTTACTGTGCTCTCAATCTCCTGCATGTCTTCTGTCTCTGATTGAGAGTTTAGAGTGTTTTCTCCAGTCAGAGCTCTTTAGTGTAATTGTACTCGAGCTTCTCGTGTGAAATCTTGACTGATTTTGATCAAGTAAAGGTCAGAATAACTGCAGTAATATCTCCAGATGAACACTTACTGCACTGAAGCAGCTCAGCTTTACTTGATTCTCCATCAATCATGTTTTAGAGTCTCAAATCTGATCCTCAGGATCTTTTGAGGAGCGTTTGTTTCCAGAAGCTTTACTTTCACTGTTCCTCAGCGGAGGAATGATCTTCACAAGCCTCCAGAACATCTCACATCTTCTGAGGAGCCTTTATTTCTTCAGCTCTCAATCACTGCATTATATGTTTGGAGCATTTCAATCTCATCTGATTACTGGAGATATTTTATTATATATCTTATTTACACAAACTAGGAGTGGCACTATATTAAAATAATTAAATAAAAACAAAGTATTTTAAATAAAATGATTAAATGGCACTATATTAAAATAATTAAATAAATAATTGCCTTAATAAATTAAAATAAAACAATTAAATTACTCTTATTTACACAGACTAGGAGTGACACTATATAAAAATAATTATAAATAATTAAATAGAATTAAAAATTAATGAATTAAATTAAAACAAATAACATTTATTTACATAAACTATGAGTGGCATTATATTAAAATTAATCAAGTAATATAATAAAACAATCAGAAATAATACAATAAATTAATTAAAATAAAATAATTATAAATAATATACTGCCTGTTCATCATGTTCACACTATTTATTATCAATGAATTTACACGACTTTTACGCTTGTTTGTGATTAAAATGATTTATTTTACTCACAAATAGCAATTTAACATGACATAAGTAGGAAAAAAATTAATTATTAAAATGTCCATGTTCTAAAAAAAATCCTTAATATAGTTTTATAGTTTTCCAACCCTGATGATTCAATAGAAAAATCACATAAAATCACGTGACACTGAAGACTGGAGGAATGATGCTGAAAATACAGCTGCGCATCACAGAAATATATTACAGTTTAACACATATTCACATAGAAAACAGCTGTTTTAAATCATAATAATATTTCACAATTTTTACTGTATTTTTGATCAAATAAATGCAGCCTTTGTGAGCAGAAGAGACTTCTTTCAAAATCTCACCGACCCCAAACTTTTGAATTCTAGTGTACAATGTTCAATAATACAATAACACAAATAAGCATCATAACAGCAGTCTATAAACCATTATAACCTTCTAACAGAAGTAAAAAGCCTTTTTCTTTCTGTTCTGAAATAAAAGAGTCTCATTTACATTATAGGCATCCTCTAGCTGTCCACAAAAAGCTTTTATTACTGGTGTTTGTGAAGGCAAGCGTCATGTTTTTAGTGTCAGTGATTTAAACAGGCAACTGCTGTTATATTTGGAATAATCATATTCCCTCATATTTCGTGCTTGTCCCGCTTCTCCTCAAATATTCCACTTGTGATGTTTGATATCAAACTCTTAATTTAAAAATCACAGATTGTAGACGAGCACTGAATGCGTTTGCGTGTTTCACAGCGAGTGTTTCTATAATACGAGCTCCGAGGGCTTCTGCGTGTCTGAAGAGCTGATATCAGGAAGGATATTAGGAGTTAATTGAAGCCAGCTGTGCAAACAGAGCTACAGATTCAGCAGCGTGTGTGTCAGAGACTCACTGGGATTTTGTTGGTCCAACAACAACATTAAGACCCCTGAAAGTTATTTTTTCGTCCCTAAAACAGGGGGAAAAAAGAGCAGTTCCCAAAAATGAACATTTGATGAAAGTTTACTCACCCTCAGGCCATCCAGGATCTTGATGAGTTTGTTTCTTCATCAGATTTGGAGAAATTGCATCAGTGTCTCACTGCAAGTGAATGGGTGCCGTCAGAACGAGAGTCCAAACAGCTGATAAAAACATCACAAGTAATCCACAGCACTCCAGTCCATCAGTTAACATCTGGAGAAGACAAAAGCTGAAACAAATCCAGCATTAAGACGTTTTTAACTAAAACACATAGAGTCCATAATCCATAATAACGCTTCCTCCAGTGAAGAAGTGTTCTGGTGTGAATCAGGAGAGAAATCTGCACAGATCAAGCAGCGTTTAAAC